TATTCATCTTTGGGTGTTGCAACATTTAAATCTCTAAAATCGATGCACACCCTTAAGGTACCATTTTTCTTTATAACAGGTACTATATTTCCAATCCATTCGACATACCTGGTTGTTCGGATGAACTTGCATTTCAGCAGTCTTTCGACTTCCGTCTTGATCTTCCACAAGATCTCTGGTGCAAAACGCCTTGGAGTTTGCTTGACATGCTTTTTTCCAGGCTTTATTAGTAGTTGAAGCTCCACTAATTCTCTGTCGAGACCAGGCATTTCATCATAATCCCATGCAAAGCAGTCTTTGAACTCCTTCAACAATTGGATTATGTCGACCCTGAGCTCTGAATCTATCTTCACACTGATGTATGTTAGTCTTTTCACCAAACCTTCGCCCAGGTCTATTTCTTCTAGAGGATCTTGCGCTAGCATTTTAACATTGTCTGCTAACGGATCCTTTTCAAAACCCAAAGGCTCATCATCATAGATGGCATATAGCCTCTGGTTTTGCATTTCTTCCCCTTTCGAGTCAGGTGGTTCTGGGTCGAAATCCTTCTTAGGGCCTTCTTTCCCTTTTGAGTCAGGTGGTTCTGGTTCAAAGTCTTTCCCAGGACCTTCTGGAAGAAACACTTGCTCATTGTTGATAACGCCATTTGTGATATCGTGCCAAAAAGAATCGTCCCAAAAAGATGAAAATTAAAAGAGTTATGATCATCGAAAGTTGGACGACTGACACTTGGAAATAGGTCAAAGTCCTCAAAAAGACCTCTAATGTACTCAAACTTTTGATGGCCTTTCGCACATAATCAGCTCTCGACTTTTAAAGAGAAGTTGAAAATGATGTCAAGGACATTCATATGCTCGAAGAATCAATCAAAAATACTGAATAATGAAGAAGTTGTGATCATTAGAACTCGAACTTGCGAATGTTGACTTTTGGTTAACCAACTTTGAATCAACTCGTGAACTTGATCATTCTTCACAACTCAAGGCATTCTTAATCACATATGAACTTGAGATAATGAGATTTTGATTAAGCTATATTCACAATTTTTAGAACTTGAGATTACTCGTCGAAGAAGGCATGTAAATAAACATATGAACCTATCTCGAATAGTCTTGAGAATTAAGCAACCAAACTCGCCTTAACCATGTTGAATGAAGCTTCAATATAGCGTGACCTAAGATTATATATCACAACTCTGAAAAATAGGTCTTTGAGAATCTGCCTTTAGCCTGAACAAACCACAACCCTAATCGAAAAACCGTCATCTGAATTTCTCGATTGGAAACCCTTCCTTCTAAAAGAAACGAAACAAACAAGGCATATTTTTGAATTTTGGTTAGAGGTTAGTAAAAATATAAAACACATATACACAATGATACAAAATCAAGGTGCTTGATGATATGGGATGGTAGAAGATCTTAGGGGCAAAAATTAGAGTATAACACGAGGAAGTTGTTATTCTTGTGTCTATAGAGGACAAAAATTGGGGTATAACACAAGTAAACATAAATATTTTAAATTTTTGAAATATAAATTCCTTTCATTTTTTATTTGCATAATTTCAAATGCATTAAATTTAAGGGTATATAGTTAAGGCTATTAAAATACTATACAAAATCCAATAACTTAAAATATATGTTATTGAGATTATTTGAGAGAATACACATGTTAAAATATTATATATAAGATGATATTTTACAAAACATAATAATTTTTAAATTTTAAATTATAATTAATAATATAAGTTTATGGTATGAAACTAAATAAAGAAATGGACAATATAATTTTAAATTGTATAATCATAATCAATAAATTGTTAATCATAATCAAGAAATGTAACCAACTTTTAAATTTCTTTTTAATTCACAATATATTTTTAAAAATGAAAAAAGACATGATATATATTATATATATTTTGGAAGAAATTTAAATTATAAATAAAAATACATATAAAAAGTTTTATAAATTAAAGTCTACCATAATCATATTAAAGATATGTGATCATTATGATGAAAAGTTTGATTATATATTTGTTATTATGGATAAATATTTGAAATTAGATATAATTGATGTTTTTTTATATATTTAATTTTATTAATAATGTTGATATTGTCAAAATTAAGATATTTACTATTGGTATTATTAAATTTTATACTAGTTTTGTATTTAATTATTTTTTACAAAATAATTCAGAAAATATTTTTCCATCTTCCAATTAATTTATTCTTATACTAAAATGAATTAGTTGTCCAACTAATGTGTTTTTCAAAATCTGAAATAAATTTATTATTATAATTGATAGAGATGATGTTATAATTGAGAAGTTGTAAGTGGATTATTTTATGTTTTCCCTTAGATAAATTCTTATAATTAGAAATAGTCTTTCCTTTTTTCTCTTAGATTTTCGGGTAATTATAGTTTACAACTTAAAAATATTTATTAAAATAATTTTTTTGTATATTTAATTTATTAATAATGTTGATAGTGTCAAAATTAAGACATTTATTATTGATATTGTTAATATTTATAAAAAAATTATAATTAATTTTACAAAATAATTCAAAAATTATTTTTCCACCTTTTAATTAATTTTATCACATCCTAAAATGAATTAATTGTTTGACTAATGATTTTTGTAAATCTAAAATAATTTTTTTGATTTAATTATTAGAAATAATGCAAATAATTGAAGAGGTGTAAGTAGAATATTTTGTGTTTTTCATTAAATAAATTTTTATTATTAGAAATAGTCTATACTTTTTCCCTCTTAAAAATTCATGTATATTTTATAGTGCATAACTTAAAATATTTATTATTATCATTATTAATTTTTGTAAGAAATTTAAATATTTTTTATCATGATTTTCATTAGTCATCATATATTTTATTTGATTTTTATTATTTTAAGATATTATAGAAAAAAGGATATGCATTAGAGTATATACAAATATGAGAATTTTAAATGATATAATTGAAATATAATGAAAAAATTATTTAAATTAAATTAAAGATTTAAGGGAAAAATAATTATATTTATTTATGATTAATTCATATGAGAATAGATATTAATAAAGTTGTTGCAAAAAAAATTTAGAGTAGAAGTTGAAGTGATGAAGAATAATTGTGTAACTTTATTGTTAGATCAAATTCTAAGAGTGACACGTGAAATTTTAATTGACGCGACAATATATAATTATGTTGCATATGACATGTGGTGACATAGTTTGTTGCTTTAGATTTAATATATTATAATAGATAAACTCAAACGATTGTAAAGCACAACCATTGTTAAATATTAAGCGTTAAAAATTTCATTACAGTTGTTTAATGTAACCGTTGAGATAGTTAGCGCACAACTTCATTTATAATCACGGTGACACGACCGTGGTGGAAAGCATCGTACTTTCATCCACCTCTACCTCACCACGATCGGTCAAGCGTGATGGTATTCCTATTCCAACTATGATGATATAACTTTTTAAGTAGTAGTGTTTAAATCATAAACTAAAAGAACCTCCTCAATCTACATACCAATGACACAAATATCAATGATCTTTACTTTGTTGTTATCACCATAAGAGACATATCCTCTCTTTTATGGGAATAGAAATAGAAAAGAGATTTATCTTCAATCATATAATTTGAACAACTGTTTTTAAGGTACCAATTAGCATTTGATACCGCAAAACATTTTTCATGATCCTCATAATTTTTCTTGAGACAAATTTTTGCTTCTTCCTTATACGAGGATTTCGTATCATTACCATCTCAAACTATGTATACCGTTTTTTCCTCTTTTTGAAGTTTCTTAAACTTTCTTTGATTTTGATTCCGATTCATTCTCTAAAGGCACACAATCATTTCTCAACTCTTATATCAAAAGTCTTTTTAACCATAGTGTTCAGACAATGTGTCTTGTTAATATGGTGTGAAGTGTGGTACATATGTATATGGATAAAAATATTTATATTAAAGGAGAACATATTCAGATTAATAGATTTAATCATACTTGAGGAAGACACAATTGATGTATCAAGTCTCAAGTTGAATTAAAAGTGGATATTAAATAATAAATAAGTAAAATAACTTATATATGTAATGTTTTGAGATTTTAAATAAATATGTAGTGTTGAATTCACTTAGCAGATCATAACCCAAATACTACTACACTCTGAATATTTTAAACCGTGTTCACACATTATCAGCTGTTATATCAAAATTAGAAAGAATCATTGCCATAACAATTTATCTACAAGACAAGTATACCAATAAATTTTTATAGTGAGTGTGACAGTTTAATGGTGTGTACTCATTATACATCATTTTCATTCTTTAAAACAATAGAAATGTTGGTTGTATCTCATAAAAGACCTTTATTTTGATGTTTCTTTTAACATAAACTTAGTAATCCTACAACCCCTATCCCCACACCATTTAAATAGAATGCCAAAACATCAATAAGGATATATAGTTGTTGAGGACATTCATCTATTTCATTACAAACTTTTCAAATTTTACATTCATTCATTTTTATGACATCTTGTTTCTAATGCACTATTCACATGCTAAAACCATTGACAACTTTATCAACATCCTTAATTTGTTGTTGATATTATTTTATGTGTGTTATTTATTGTTCAAGTCACCACAACAAACCGAACGACAAAGGTATCGACCTATATAAAGTTCAAAAACACATGCATAACAATATTGCGTCTCTTCTTCTGGACCATTGGATATAATTTTTTAAGATGATTGATTTTTTTGCTATTCAAAAACAGTAGTAGTGTAGCTAATTGTCCGTTTGAGTTAAGTTCCTCTATCTCAAGCCTTCACTCTCTGTCCTCAAAAAACAAAAAAATCAGTGCCAACGAAGCTTTTATTTTGTACTAGTTTGGTAACAGTTTTCTCTATTTATTTATCACCACCACCTTCTCTCTGTGCAAAGCTACCCACAGATTCTCTAAGAGCCACATATTCTTCGTTTCGTTATCCAAAAGATGAAAAGAATGGATATCTTCTGTGCTTCACAAGCATCAACAGCAATATGTCTTAGCATGGAACAAGCTTCATGTTCCTCTTCCAATGCCATTCAACTAGGAGGAAGAGTCTTCGATCGCCACAATCCTATTATCAATGATTCAAGAAGAAGCACTTCCAAAACTGTCACTGCTCCATGTTCTTCTTCTCAGCCACCCATTGACCCCAAGAAGAAAAGTTCTTTTTCTTCCTCAAAGTCAAATAATAGAACTAAAGTTTATGAGCAGAAGAAGAAAAAAAGTACAGAAGAAAATGTCAATAACAGTTCTAAGCCAATTGATTCCATTCTGAAAAAGAGATTCGTTAAGTTACCTGCTGATTCAAATTCCATCACTCCACATGGTTCAACTAGATCTTTGCTCAGTGACAAAGCTAATTTAGACCAGGTTAGTTTTCTTTTATCAAATTATTTCTTGTATCAATCTCATAATGTCATAATCTCATAGTTTAATCATGACAAATTTTGAGTCATGTGCACTGGTATGCCTTACATGTCCTCAAAGACGCGTCAGGTCAATGTTTGTGTTGATGTTTCCATGAAACTTAACTGGTGCGCATCCATGAATCTTAATTAAGCAAGTTTCGAAGCTTGTGTTTGTAGAATAACCAAATCTAGCTTTATGAAGTGAATTGAATAGAAGCATTATGAATGTCGAAATGAGTAATTTGAGTAAATATTTGAGCAGGTTGTAGTACTGAGGGTTTCTTTGCATTGCAAAGCCTGTGAAGGGAAGCTAAGAAAACACATCTCTAAAATGCAAGGTAAAGAAATTCATTCTCAACGTTTAAAAATTAATCTATAATTGATTCACATTACATTTTTTAAATAAATACGTGACACATTTAGAGAGTGGAATCTAAATAAATGTTAAATAAATGCAGGAGTTAGTTCATTCAACATAGATTTTGCTGCAAAGAAGGTGACAGTAGTTGGGAATGTGACTCCATTGAGTGTGTTGGAAAGCATATCAAAGGTGAAGAATGCACAATTTTGGCCAACAATTGGATCTGAAATCAATGAAGCAAAATACATCTATTAATGAGAGGAAACTATAGTAATATTTATTAGCATTGATGTATGCTTTAATGCTTAATTTAATCATTGTAAAATTTGAATGCAGATTTTAGCAAGAGGTGGTAGGGCTAAAATCATAAAATAAAATAGTATTTTGTTCTTGAAAAAAAACAAACTACTGTGACTAGTGAGTGATAAGAGGTTTAATTTTCGAGGTGAGACGACAAAATAGCACGATAATAGCGTTTTTGGCAGTATATGTATATTAGTATTATTATCGATACAAAATAAACAGTGACAGTAGAAATGGTGAATTATAGTATTACGTACTTTCATGTAGGCATGTGGCACACTGAATTGTGTTGTCTTTTACTATCTGCTAAGAGAACCAGAAGAAAGGAACGACGTGTCCTAGTTTTTTTTTCTTTCTAATCCGTTTGAGATTTGTTTATAATTAAAGTCAGAAGAAGAGAGTTTAATACTACAACATATTTGTTTAATTATAACTTTTTTAAACATTTTCTTTTTGTTGAACTCGATGCAAATATTAGGAGAAAAATTAAATATAATTTTTTACGTGTGGTTTTTACTATTTTCTAATTAGAATATAAAAATTATAATTAAATAATGTTTATGGAGTGAAAATAGAAGAAAATTGCATGTGTACGAGAAAATTTTATATTTGTCATATTTTTATTAAAAAATAGTAAAAATCATACCTAAGAAATTATATCTAAATTTTCTCCATATAAAATCTTTTCTATGGTTTGCTTACACTAAACATACTTTATACGATGTCATGGATGATTTGTCAATTTGTTATAATAGCTTATAATAGTATCTTGTTAAGTAAGTAAGTAGAAGAGTTGACTAGTTGAGTTTGTTACTAAGTTAGTTAGCTTTTGAAACTAATTTGATCTATGTGTAACACTTATATATAAGGAAGGGACAAGTTGAGATGATTCTGGAACTTCACCAAGATTCTCATCATGTGTCATATCATTTTTCCCTTAATCATCATCATCATTATTAGTTGGAATATTAACCTCTTCTCCAAGTTGTTGATCATCAACATAATCATATGGATCACCATTATGATCATCACCACCGATAACTTCTAGATTATAATTAGGTAACCGAACTGTATCAACATTAGACGACTGATGTCTTTCTAGGATGTAGTCTTCTCTACCTTATCAATATCTTTAATATTTTGGTCTACCATGAATATTACATCGTGGCTTCAGATAACCTTATCCCCTACAGGATCATAGAACCTGTAACCAAACCCATCTTGCATATAGCCGATGAGTATACATTGTTTTGACTTTGCATCCAACTTGAATCTTTCATCTTTTGGAATATGCATAAAAGTTATACAACCAAAGACTCTCAAATGATCAAACTTGACAATCTTTCATTGTTCAAAGCAACAATAGGAGTGAGATTTGTAAGAACAAGAAGTGTTTCTAAATCTGACCTTAAGATTTTGACGATAACTTTACATGTTATCTTTAAGAACAATTGTATACGCTAATGGTTTATTCTAGTGTGTAGCGATAAAAAATGTAGCGGGGGTAAATCGGAGATCAAATTATTGATTAATTCGTCTCACCAAAAGCAAGAGTCTCCACCGCGCTTTATTGTTTCCAAGGGAAAAGGGGAAAGAGCGAAATAAAACCCTAAATATGCAATGTAAATAATACTTTTAAAAGTAATAAAAAATACAAGGCGTTTTTGAAAAGAGATCTATGGTTCGGGGGTTGGTTATACAATGGGAAGGTATTAGCACCCAATGTGTCTATAGTACTCTATAGGAACCTTTTGAAATATCTGTTTATTAAAATTGTTCGTTTGATTGAAAAATGAATCGTTTTGGCCGAAAAAGGGGTACGGACGGGTTTTTGAAGATACGACGACCTAATGTCGAAGTTTTTGCTTAAAGGGTATAAGTTTTGAAAAGATTGAATATTTGAGGAAAAATTATCCTAAGTTTTAATGAAATGCGAATGTTCGCGCGATTAGACTTGAGGACATGAAGTCGACAAATTTAATCGTTTTCCCCTTGGATTTAGAAGTGAACAGAATAAACAAATAAATATGAAATAATTAAACAGAAAAATTATGCGGATAATGATTAAACAACAACAGTTAAATAAATGACTAAATGGTGTAAATATGCATTTTTGGATTTTTGTTTAATATTAATGAAAAGAAAATGCTTTAATAGTTTTCATTTTTTACGCATTTTTAATATGGATAAAAGTAATGAGAATTAATTAAGGAAAACAAAAATATTTTTTAAGTTTTTTAAGTTTCTATTTTTTTAAATATATTTTTAGAGTTCTATATAAGGCATTATTTTTAAAGAAATATTAAATAATCAAACTAAATGAATACCTAAAAGTTACTAACTTAAAACTAATCAAAAAAGGGAATATTTAAAATTACCTAATAAACCTAAAATTAAACTTAATAAACAAAAGGTAAAAAATGATTAAAACGTTTTAATTATATTATTTGACTAAGTTACCAATTAATTTAAACTAAGTTAGTAATATTGCTAAAAACTAAAAAAGAATAAAATAAAAAAAGTGTATTAAAAAAACGCTAGAAGAACAAACATATATGGGCCAAGGGGGTCTGAGGGGCCCAAACCAAAACTGAAGACAGGGGGGTGCAAAGGGGTTTTCGCTGGGCTTAGGCAGTTAAGTCCAAAATGCATTTCATAATTCTTGTCTTAGGGTTAACGCGTTTGGTAATTGGGATTAGGGTTAAGGTTTTTGGCAGAGCGGCGCTCATTTGTACCGTCTTCTTTGTTCTCATCTCTCTTCGCCTTATGTCCTCGCCTTCTTCTTCAATGGCCGCCTCCGACCTGCCTTCACCCGAGCCACCAATGCTTCCTCCTCCCTCCTAGCGTTGCTCAGCGATACAGTGAAGGTGATACTCTCGCTCTTTTCAATGCATTAGGCTTTTTATGATTTTGTTTGCATGTTATAATTTTCAATTTTCGATTCTGACTTCGTGTTCTTACATGATTATTGTTGAGATATTGAAAAGGAAGAAGAGAAACAAGGTTACCTTTATGGAGGATGGAGGGAAGGCGTTATGGAGGCTCGTTGGCGGAGGGGGAAATACAATGAGGCTGTGAGCTTGGAGGTCCTGGTACTCTGTACTCTTTATCTCCTTTGTTGCCTCGATGTATGCTTTTTCTTCTTCTTTCTGCTACTGTATGTTGGGTTGTTGCCTGGATTATCTTTTCCTTCTTCTGCCTTTACTACTGTATGCTTCGCTTATGGCTAATGATGAACATGTTGAGGCCTTCGTATGCTTGGGTTTGGTTTTTGAGCGTGTATGGTTTAGGCCATTACAAGTTGCACTGGTTTTTGATCGTGATATAGTAAGTTTTGGGGCTTGATGGTTTAGGCCATTACAAGTTGTATTGGTTTTGATACTTGAAAGGGTTTTGGTTCTACTGGTTTAGGCCAATGTTGTGTTTAACATGTTATTGGTTTTATGCAGTAGGTGTTGATACAGGTTGTATTGGTTTTGATACTTGAACTGGTTTTGGTTCTACTGGTTTCGGTTAGGCTGGACAACAGGTTATGGTTTTAGGTTCTGATATGGTTTATGCAGTGGGCTATGGTTTTGATTTATGTTGTAGTTTTTTTGGTTTGATGTTTGATGGTGGTGGAGGGTTTTGATAATGGTTATGTATGGTACTGGTTTTCTGTATTATGCAGTAGGAATGGTTTTTGAAATGGTTTTAAGGTTGATGGAAATTTTGTTTATGCTTGGAGAAAAATGGCTTTGTGTCTTTGTTTTACAGTTGAGCGTGGAAGGCTTGTGCAGGTTCTCAACTCTCTTTCTCTCTTGAAGGGGTTTTGTGTTATGTTACAGTTTTGCTTGGCATCTCCTCTTTATGCCACAGGTTTTGAATATTTAACTATATTTCCTTAGCCTCTGCACAATACTGCTTCATATGGTTTGTTTGTATTCCTTTCTTATGCTCCTTTTTTTCTACTGAGTTACTGCTGTAGCTTTGTTTTATAACTCCTTCTGCCTAAACCAAAATCTGTAAAACCATCTTTCTATCTCTCTTCTCTCTCTTAAGTACATTTGATGCATTAAGATGATGTACTGTACTGTATTCTGAAATTGCATAGGCTGGAACATGATGTAAAAGGAAATATATTATGCTTGCAAAATGGTTTTGAACTGCATATTTCTTTTGACTTCTGCATGGCACAGTAGGAGCCTATTTGTTTTGGCCTCTTCCTATGTGCAGGGCAAAGGTTTACGTTGGCCTTCTTTTGAACATGTCATGTTTATGCATATGCTGTTGCTTTTTGTATGTTGTGTATATTTTTGAAATATGCATTTTTTGGCATAAGAAATTATGCATATGCAGTTGGCCCTTTTTTTAAAATGCAATTGATTTTAAATATGCAGTTTTGAAAAATAAAATGAATTTGTGCATGTTTTAAATTGTGCATTCATTTATGAAAATAAAAATTCCTCCCTTTTTTGTGAACCGGGAGAAATCCCGTGATTTGCAAAAAAGGGTAAACTGATTCCAGCCGTTGCTTTTAATGATGAACACTGAAATAATTTTCTGCTTTTAATCATTTATTTATTTCTAACTTTTCTTTTAATTGTTTTTGCAGGTAAAATTAAATGAGCAGACAAAAGCATTGGATAGAAGATTTAGAATTAGAATCTTAGAAAAATAGTTCTATTTTACTTTAAGCTTTTATGTAATTTGTTATTATAAATATTTTGTAAATAATACAATATTTAAATAACAATTGTAATAAAATAGAATAAAGTGAAATAAAATTCTATTATTTCCCAGTCAATTCTTTTTCTTTCCAATTATTTATTTATCGTTTATAATTCTTTAAATTGTATAATAATTGAAAATCAATTTCAATCACTTAAATTCAGAATAATAAATGAATAAATAAACATCATTGGTCAATTAATAATTTCAATTATTTAATCCGTTATTCATAATTTTCTAAA